TATGATATAGGAGATTTAATGGGTTCAGCTTTGAAAGGTTTAAGCAGATTAGTACAATTACCCGTGGGATGCGGAGAACAGAATATGGTATTATTCACTCCAAATATATTCGTTCTCGATTATCTTACTGCAACAAACAGATTAAATGAAGACGTCAAGTCTAAAGCATTGGAATATATGAAAATTGGTGACTTTTTTAATAAATAGAGACTTTGCTCATATTATTGTAATTCCCAAATGTTTTCTTTCGTGACGTAGGTTATCAGAGAGAGCTGAATTACAGGCATTCCGATGGATCGTATAGTGCCTTTGGTTCCAACGATTTAGTCGGAAGTATGTGGTTAACGGCATTCGTCGTTAGATCTTTCGCTCAAGCTCGTCGCTTTATTTTTATCGACGAAGAAGATCTTAAACTCAGCACACAATGGATTGTACAAAAACAATTAGAGAATGGATGCTTTCCATCCATTGGTTCAGTGCTTCGTCAAGAAATGAAAGTAAATATTTAGCCGTATTCGTATGAGAAAATTTAACATTAGCCATTTATATATAATTCTTATGTTTTACAGGGAGGTGTCGGTGAAAATCAACAATTTCTTTCTACTTTAACAGCTTATGTTTTGATCGCTCTTCTCGAATCTGGAATAGACAAATCTTCTTCTACGGTTACTAATGCTTTGTTTTGCATGGATGCAGAACCGGATCCGAATAGTTATTCTCTGGCATTATTTGCTTATGCAGCAGCCCTAGCAGAACATTCATCGGCAGAGAAATATTTACAACAATTGAAAGAAAAAGCAACTTATAATAGTAAGTATGGATTTTTTATGTTTATCAAATTTCTTTATAAACTAAATACTTTACCAACTTTCTGCAAAAAATATTAAATATTATTTTGGAAATATTTTAATAAAAACTAAATCGTTCTAAAGGATAACAAGCCGAAATACATATTGCTTGTAAGTTAAACGTTACCAATTAAAGAAAATCTTGAGACTGTAGTCATACGAAAATTAGAAATACAGCATGTGGCATAGGTCTGAACGCTATGCACCTCAATGAGAGGACCCTTCTCATGGAAGAAAATCCTATCTCGGGTCTGTGAAAGATAACGGTATGGTTTACAATCCAATTATACAAGCGAAGGATTGTAGAAAATATTGAAAACTTTGCAAGAAATAGTTCATACTTTTCAAAATAGGATACAAATTATTGGATAGATTTCAAAAATTTTCGGAAGGATTACACTATTACCGAAGTCTTTTCGGAAAAGACGGCATACTTTCTGAGAATATGACACATAGGCTTATTTGGTTATTAGAGAAGAACATTTCATCAGTTACGGTACGAATTTCTAGATTAGCGTTTATCATGACAAATATTACAAGAAAAATATAAGAAATTGATGAACTTATTGTAAAATTAGAGTAAAATTTATAGCTGTTTCAAAGATCATGATTGCTAAACACAAGTTTATTTTTGTTTTACGATGTTTCGTACACAAAGGGCCGCATTTTTGAAAGATAAAATACGTAAAATGTTTCTTTATTAATAAAAATTAGTCTTAAATTTTAATCTTTGTTAGTAAAAATAACACTAATTTATAGGGGTAAAAACCTCTAAGTTCCCAAAGTTTGCTTCAGGCTCGGGAAAAAATTCCTGGCTTTCCCCTTCTCGATATCCTGTGTATACTTTATCTTACACTACAATAGAATATTAGCCAAGATAAGTGAAGAGAACAGTGCGAGGCTTCTCTGCATAGCATTGAGCGTTCAAGATCATACAGATATAGTAAAGCCTTGATTTAACAAACTAATTCGGGCAAGGTATGTCCGCTATAAGTAGGTTTTCCGAATCCGTGTGTTAAAGAATTGACAAATGAGTTCGTTCATCTGTTTTACTTTCCCAGCTCTGTTATATATAACAGAGAAAAAGTATAGCGATCCATTAAGAAATGACCCCATCCAGATTTTTACATTTTTTGGATTCAGGGGTCCTTGAAACGTCGAAAAATGCAAAAAATTTGAGAGGTCCGTCCGGATCCGTCTCTCACCACCCGGCCGCTCCATTGTGGGCCTGGCCGAATCAGTAATGGGCTTGCTAAAAGAGATCTAGTGCCCACAGGGCGGAGAAAATTATAAAAAATTTAAAGAAAGAAACCCGTTGTAGCGTTAAGTTAAGAGCAATGACTCGGATTTTGAGGGAAAACATAAAAATTATTTTAAAATTAACATCATGCTAATTTTCACATATGACATATGAACCGGAAATTACGTCCGCTACACCGAGGTTTGACTATAATATGTACTGTACAGTATACATAACAGTATTTAGATAAAATTTATGCGTGTAATGAATGTATAAATCTAAGAAATAATCTAAATTATAAATAATTTTTTATTTCCTAAATATATAAAACAGATACTGAATTTTTCTTTAGAAAACATGGTTTATTGGGACCAAGGACAACAATCGCTAAATGTGGAGATTGCTGGATATGCAATTTTAACGTATTTGCAAATAGGTGGTAATAAACGCATCGCGGAAGCGTCTTCGGTTTTAAGATGGATTATCCAATCCAGAAATTCTAGAGGAGGTTTCGTCTCGACTCAAGTACGTATCGAATGGTTTATAAGGATGCATTGCATACAGTTTATATTCGCCATTTAACTTTGGCTCTTTTTGCTTCCAGGATACGGTAATAGCTCTTCAAGCTTTGGCTAAATACGGAAAGTTAACAAATCAGACAAATCTGGATATCACTTTAATTGTCGAAGGAAAAGGTTTCGAGTACAATTTCATCCTGAATAAAATAAATCAACTGATTGTTCAAAAGAATAAGTTGCCCATCCTCCCTAGTAGTATGGACATTGAAGCGACTGGAGACGGTTGTGCTATGATTCAGGTATAACCGCATCAAGATTAAAATGAACTTGTGTAACTTGACAATTTATTAATTGAAAGAACTTAATAATTTTACAGTTTATTATTATACTAGAATACAAAACTGTTCATTAAATATTGTAATTTAAGATAATTGTGTAAAAACCTTTATTTGTAAGTAACCTTATATTGTCAAATAATTACTAGATATGAATTAATTAATTTAATTATTTATCAAGTGATTACTGCCGTAGAAACTATTTAATAAATTTTCTTATCACTGTTCGTTTTACTTTCCAGACCGAGATGTATTATAATACTAAAAACATTCCAGGAAGCGAGGCATTTCATTTAAGCGTCACTTCGACTAGATTAGGAAGTTCTACTTGCAATAAACCGAATATTAAAGTTTGTATCAGGTATTGACAGTCTATTTCTCCTATAAGATTTAATTAAATAGAAATTTATGTAATTTCTTTTATTAAACTTTAGATATAAAATTCAAGACAAAACTTCTAATATGGCTGTGATCGAACTTAAAATGGTATCTGGTTATATTCCAGATGAATGGAGTTTGCATTCGGTAATTGCATCGATTTTTTTTATCTTTAAAGTACAACAATATTTCATACAGTCTTTAACACATAGATCAAGTTTCTTCCAATTTAATTTAATATTTAAAATTTGAAAGTATTACTTTAAACACACAAACTAATAAATAAATATTCTCACAAAAATTAATTCTTAGATATTATAATTCTTACCTAATTTTCATTCTTCTTAATATTCCACGTAAATTATTACGTATTTTATAGTTAGAAGCGTGTCTATTGTAATAAATATTTGCCTATAGTTTGATAGTTGCTAATATTAATAGGACAAATACTTTCAATATATCTTTTGTATTTATTGAAAACAAATTTATGTAAATTTATAATAACTTATACAAAAACAATCTTACTTAAATTATTATTATTTTTTTTATTAAACTAAAATTTTCAGCTTCATCAAAGAACCGATCTTTTCTTGAAACGCCACGAAGTCAACGCGGACGTGATAGTATTTTACTTTTCTGAAGTAAGCCGTATAAGTCATAAGATTTTAACTGAATTTTTTAACTATTAAAAATGCTAATATTCCAATAATAAGATCAGAAAAGCCATATGACTTTTTAAAATTTCCTTACACAATTAAACAATTAAGACTACATGACACGTGAACAATTATACAAATTAAAAGAAAAAAAATTCTTAAATTATTCAAATTAATTTAAATTATTCTGTTTAAATGAATTTCTGTTGTAAAAAAATGACACCAATTCGTTCAAATGATTATATAAGGTAAAGTATAGGCTTACATATAAAAAATGTGCAATAAAAAATATCCAAATGTTGAATATTTAAAAGTAAAAATAAATTCGATTCTAATTTGAATGTGAAGATAAACTAATATTATAAAAATTATCTGTAATATATTTTATAGGCTCGTTTCCTGGTATTAAAGCAGCTGGATAAGCAAGCCAATGACATAACCCGTTTCAATTGATTCAATTGAATAAATTAAATATAATAAATGAAAAAATGTGTTGGTTATCCACGTCTAATAACGACATAATGAATAAATTTGTCATATACTGTACTGTTTGAAAATGATATTTGTTCTTTTTCCAAAATTACACAATATACTGTACTTAGCAAAAACTTACCCGTTCTTTAGTTACAAAATATGCCAAAGCTTTAACAGGATGTAGGACCTGAATTGGACATAATAATCATAGATATAAATATCTAATTGATCGGAAAAATTAAAATTCTTTTATCCAATCATGATAATAACCAATTTTAATTTTTTCAAATTATTATTGCTTATTTTTTATGCCATATAACAACAAAATCGCCTTTTCTGTTATGCATTTTCTGCAACGTCTCAGACTAAACGCTAAATATTGGCATTAACAAAATAGTTTACTAAAATTTAGTGGTATTGAAAGATATAAAATAAACGTAACAAAATTTAAAAATATCAAAAATAGTCCATGAACCACCACCGATAGTTTTTTCTTAAGGCTTTGGGCTAGGATTATTATGTAATTAATCGGGGGTGCCACATCTGAGTAAGTTTTCTTATTCACTTTCATGTTTAATGTCGAGAATCCATTAAAAAATTTGAATTTAAAATGATATGATTTAGTTTTTTAAATAATGATACATATCATCTAAAAAACTTTTTATTCAGAAATGTTGGGGAATTTTTAATTTTTTTCCCAATATTTCACTCTAGGATCTCGCCTATAAGGGCTTCAGAACTGCAGTCTTTGTAGATGAGCTCTCGAACAGGAATATTATTTAAAATTATCATCGAAAACTAGCAATAGGAAGTAGAAAGTAAAAAGAACTACAAATAGGACGAATCCAGTTACAATCAGTTAGATAAATGAATAATTTAATTTATTTTTGTTTATAGATTGAAATTAATAGATGTTATAATTTTTCTGTTATTTGTAAATATTTAAATAACTGTGATAGACTTAAAGATAAAAATATGATTCATGAACATAAAAAATTCAAATTTGTTTCAGAAAAATTTTATTAATTTTGCCAATTGTTAAAATCACATCATGGAAGAGCCTACGAATATATCTACTCTTTATTTAGGCCTATACATAAATACATGAAACACTTAAAATCATCACGACACTTTTTCTATCACGGGGGAATGGGAACGGCAGCACCGAGAATCGACAATTTTATTAAATGGGTCGAAGCAAACAAGAGCGAAGACCTTGGGGTTTCTCTTGTTTGCTTCTACCCCTTATTTCCAATATAAACTACAGTATAAAAATTAATCTGCTTTAATTCGAAACTTAATTAATCTTCTGTACATTGTATTTTTAAATAATTTAAAAACTAAATATTCAAAGTTATTACATTTGTAATAAATTATTGCCATTAGCTGATAATAAATTCAATTGAAGTTGGAAATAATAATCGAATTTTGTTTTTCAATTTAAAACACTATCATAAATTCTTAACAAATTACTTATAAAGCCACATATATATACAATTTTTATATTAAATTTTCTATAAAATTGATTAAATTAAACTTTGTTTTTTTTATATATATAGTTAACAAACGAGCAAAAATGCTTTCACTTCACCGTAGTTCAAGAATTCGAAGTGGAAGATTTAATGCCTGCAGTCGCAAAATTGTATGATTATTACGAACAAGGTAAGTCACGTAAATATTTGAAACACTGTTACTGTTTCTGTATTAAAATTATAGTTTGATTTATCTATCGTTTATATTATTTAATTAATTTCCAAAAATAAATACGAAATACACTTAACACACAAAATTTAAATGTAAAGATATAAACAGTTGTAAACATCCTACATATATTCTTGAGCTTCTTTCTATCTTATCTTACTGTAATCTTACTATTTTCGATTCTATAATTAATATTCATCTCAATAGTATTATATTTACTATTATACATTGAATTATTAATGTTATAAATTTTAAAAAATTAATATTTTAATAGTAAATTGTGGTATAAAATATTTTTTTATTTATAGAATCTAATATGATTTGAGCATTTTAGCATATATTTTGTCTCTTTGCGTTCAAAGTATAATGTATAAAAAAAGAAAATAAATTACACTAATTACATTTTAATTTTTGTACATTCGAGAAGAAAACTATTTTTAAAAATTCTTATACAATACAAAGAAATGAGTATAGTGGAATGTATTTAACAATGTAAATAACATTCCAGACATTCTCTTGATAAAAATTTATAACGTTTGAAAAGTTTTGGAAAATGATTAAGAATTATCATCATCCTCAAAAGCACCCCAAATATGCTTAAGAAGATTAAAGTTAGGCATTTCATCGGGAATGACCAGATCTGATCGAAATATTTATTATGAAAATTGCTTGGAATATTCATTATTTTTGATATTTTGAAGATATTTCTTCGTTAATTATGCTTAGTTACAAAGTTCAAAATCACTATCAACCATTATCATAAACGATATTTCATATCGTTTATGATATGGTTCAATGAACGAGAATTTTGTTTATCATACTTAGCCATTGCGTTTTAATCTTTCTTAAATATATCAATTATGGAAATTCTTTCATCTAACTTCAAGTAATTCTCTAGTAATTTTAAAAAAGACTTTTTAAAATAAGAAATACATTGATTAAGATCAATATTTATTTTGGGTCTTTAACGTTAATTACTAGTTTAAATTTGGCATTAGACAATAAAGTGGTGTAATTGTTACAAATTCATTTATATATTTACAAGATTTAATTGATTTGTTATTTGTCGTAAAATTATGAAACGTATTATTTTAAATACTGTAAAGGAGAGAATGAAAGAACTTCAAGAATCTCTGAAATCAAATGAAAGAAGCAAGAGTTTTGAAATTATATTTATTTTCTTCAGAAATTTCGTTTCCTCTTAATTTTACTCTCGAATTAACTAAAAATATTTCAGAAATCTTTGAAAAGTTTCGATTATAATATCTATAAAATAAAGACATTGGAGTCTGATTGACCGAATACCTGAAGCAGTTAAGGTACCATATTACCATTTTGAAGATCCGGATTCGAATCCGAGCAATCAAAAAATCCTAGAATTTTTCGGGGTGGTCTGTCACGGATACGTCGGCCTCGTCTCTTATCACACGGCAATCCTATTGTGGATCTGACAGAACTCACGATAATCCTTAAATGTCTTAGTGGACATAGGGTAGAGAATTTAAAAAATAACAACAGCCTTTTCATTCTATATTAATATTGATTTTTCTTTATTAGATTTTTAAAATATTGTTTAATTTGTGTATATATATGTTATGAAGGTGATCAGGGTCAGATCATCTAGTATTTTATAATTAACTTGCAAGTTAAATTACACTGAATGAGCCTTTCAGCAAGCGAAAAATATCCTTGTTGAATACGTTGATTACGTATAAATTTATGAAATATTGTTATTTCTTGATTAATCTTGCTTCCGATTCATGATTGTAGTTTTGTTTCTTGCAGAGTTATTTGTTACTACTAACTACACGATAGAATCGAGTTGTCCCACAAATCTTCCAGAAATGGAATTATCATTATTGGGGAATACCACGGATACTAATTCGGACGATCAACAATTAGAAGTCGAATTTATTAGTAATGTGAATCCCGTATCCACCACCACGAAACCCAACAGAATTGAACCGGATCTCAACTCTGAAAAAATAGAAAACAAAGATTTGTATAAAGATTTCGTTGAGGTCAATCACGAACTAGATTTTCCTGACAGATTAGAGGAAAATATACCAGTAACAGTTAATCCACCTCCGCCATCAGGTAAGCTTATTTAATTCCTGTTTTATATTGCATTAATTTTATACCATTCTATTTAAATACACTATTTTTAGAACTTCCTTCTGGTTTATGTCCTTTATGCCTTGACAAATTTCCGACGAATTTCGGAACACTCTATTGTAATTCTGCTTTTGGTGAGTAGTATTTTAATACTTTTGTATCTCATAAGATTTGTTAAAGATATATTTTATTATTACAGCCTTGAGAGTAACTGTGAGAGATATTTCAATGGGGAAAATGAAAATTATGCATAATCTTAGTCCTTACCTGGGACGACCACAGAATATGAAAGCCTTCGCGGATTACACGATGCATCCTAATTGTCATTGCTTGTCTCTCATTAGTAAGTTCTTTTGTTATATCCGTCTCCTATTAATCTTAACCAAAACACATTTCCTGAATTCAGAAGAATCAATAAAGTGCAAAATAATAGACTTGTTTTAAAACTATCCCGAGTAATTTTTATAGCGATCTGATGTCAGTTATTCTTATTGCGTACTTCATTTTCAATTATTATTTTTGAACGAACAATAATTCTCCGCATACACTGTTTGGGATCCGGATTCGATTCGGGTCTTCAGACTTTTCGCGAGTAATTTGAGATGAGGCATCGATCTTACCCCTCAATCATACTGATTGATTCCATTGCGGATCAGGCTTTCCAGTAATGGACGAAATTGAGGTCAGTTACATATTCTTTGAGATGGCATTAAGCGTTAGAAAAACAAATTTACGTTCTTCTAATTATGTGAAACCGTGCTTTGAAATTTGTTTCTGCTTCTAACACAATAAAGTGCTATAAATTAAGACACTTGGCGGTTTTTCTCATCTTTATTTAGTTGAGACGTGTGAAAAAATTACACGTTTCGGGCTCATAAGCCCCTCCTCAGCCAACTAAAATATTAAAAAAGATATCCAACACATATATAGAAAAAATACACGTTTTATAGAATTTGTAAAATTATCGTGATCTAAAGCATACCTGTGCATACAAGTTTTATAAATTAAAGTAACATCAGCTTATTCTTAACATTTCCAGCCAACTAAAATATTAAAAGAGTATACAATACATATATATAAATTTATACTAAGTTTTGTAGATTTTATAAAATTATCGTGATATAAAGCATACCTGTGCATACAAGTTTTATAAATTAAAGTGACATCAGCTTATTCTTAACATTTCAAGCCAACTAAAATATTAAAAGAGTATACAATATATATATATATATANCACACCACTGTATTAGGTATAGTTGAGTCTCGTAATATCGCGAGCTATGACTTATAATCAGGAGAATATTATGGATTTTTCTTCAATAAACAAAAAGCTTAAATACGTACATCAAAACAGAAGACATTTCTTCTTAGTGATATAATAGTAAACAATACATGATATAATTTTTGTTGTAATTTCACTTATTCACTTTTTTCAAAGTTAAAATATGCACACTATACAATTGAAGTAATATTTATTTCTTTTACGTTAAACAAATTTTTAATTTTAATAAATTCAAATTTGAATATGTTTGAGTTGATGTCTTATATCACGTTATATCTTCTAATTAATAAAGTAATTTTGTATTTTTAGTGAAAATTTTAAATAAATTCTTTTTGGTCTCTCTCAATACGTCTATGAAGGAATTTATGAATGTCAACATTAACGAAAACACGAAATGGATTTGTGCAGTAAAATTTTTTATATTGAATAATTGTGTGTTTTATCATACAATGATTTCTTTATTTGGATCACCTTCAGTAGGTAAGTAAGTAAATTTACATATTAAGTATTAAATTGTAAGTTGGTAAGAAAAGTAGAACTAATAAAAACAAAAGTTATTTTTCAGATTGTTTTCGTTTTAACTTTTACTATTCTGTTATATAACAGAAGGAAAGTATGGTCATCTGTCAAAAATTACTCTATAAGATTTGTATATTTTTCACTAAGGGACTTTCGATAAGTCGAGAAATGGGAACAAATTTGGATATTATCTTGTATATGATGGATCTTAGTATTTGTGCCACGATTTTGTTTATCCTGTTTGAAGTTTAATAGTTTTTTTGATTTTCTTTCAAAATTTCTGAAATTTTATACAGAGGTTTGCGTTCTAGGGTGTTCTAACGATGTAAATTTTGATACGTAACGTTCATTGAGCTAAGGAGAAAAAGAGGGCCGTGTGCATCTCCAGTATGGTCGTACTTAATGACGACTTTACTCTTTATTCACACTTACAATTTTTTATAAAATCCTACGTCAGATATTTGCCATTTTATAATAGTTAAAAATATAGAATTTAAAAAAAATAAAGCATGATAACAGATGGCGTTACCAAATGTTACCGTGAAAGTTAAGCAATTCGTTGCAGGATTTTTTGCAAAGTAAATTCATTATTGCATTCTTCTAGTCTTCTGGTATGTCTTTCTGCATTCAATGAGAAGACTGGTTTCTGAAATACTAGCGAAATCGTTAATCAACGTTTTTTATATGATCAAGTTAGATTCTGTCTTCTTTAAATTTCTTCTTTGTTATGCATTTTATGACACTTCATCCTTTCTTATAGGAATTAAGTTGTTTTTTTTCGTCTATTCTTCATTCATTACTCATCTTTTGCTTTTGGTGTTATTATCGTCATATTTTTAAAGCATATAATAGAATATTTCAACAAAGTGAATTACTTCTATGGTGTTCCTGGTAGTTACATTTTGTTTATTTAGAGCAAAATACACTTTCTTTCGAATACAGGATTTTCGTTTAGATAGTCGAAAATTTTGCTATTTAAAATTTGTTTCGTTACCAGATCATTTAACTAAAATATCTTATATATTCTATTGTGTGTTTCCTCGTTATTTTACATAGTTGAACATATTCTACTGCTGAATTTAGATGATATTAATTTGTCTTAAATTATCTACGTTTCTTCCTGTTTTTAACGTAAGTGTTTTTCTAGCTTTCTATCTTTTTCAAGTTGTTGTAAGCTTCTGATTAGTAGTCTGTTAATTTCTGTAATATTTATACTTTCATACTGCTTTTCAAAATCTCTAAGTTCATTTCTTCTGTGATTTATTCTTAAAAAGTAATTCGTAATATACTAGTTTTGCATTAATTTTTTTCACTTCTTTATTAACTTCCTCGTATAAGCCTTTTATGTATGGGAACCGAATTGATTTAATGTCTGTTTGTTTAAGATCTATTGCTTGCAATTAATGTAAAACTAGTACCGACATATGATAAGCTACTCTCTAGATTAAGTGCAAAACAAGTTAGAAAAACAAATATACCAAAAAAAGAAAAAACCAAAACCGTAGTTTATAAAATACCATGCACATGTGAAAATACTAAATTTTATATAGGTGAAACTAAATGTAAAGTTAAAGTAAGGTTGAAAGAACATATAGCCGATTTGAAATATCGAAGACTAAATCCTGCCTTTCACGAACACTGCGTTTTAAATAATTGTAATATTGATAAAAAAAATAATATAGGTATTCTACACAAAGAAAAAAAAAATACATATAAAAGAAAATTTAAAGAAAGTATAGAAATAATCAAAAATAAAAATCCTAGCATCTCCATAAGCGAAAATTAGTTAAAAATTTTATCTTAATTTACCAGCTTCAAAAATGTGTTATTATTGTAATCACTGTGCTAATTTATAATAATAAATATTGAACTCTTAAATAAATTTAAAATAGTATACAACTGTAAAATTGTAATAAGTTTCAGATAATATGTAAATTTATATTAATTGATAATCATGTTTACCAACTTTAAGATATTGTATTATTATTGTGGTCCATGTAATAATTTATAATATTAAATATTAAAATGTTAAACAAATTAATAATCATATACAACCGTAAAACTGTAAAACTGCAATAGGTGTCAGATATGCAAAATCATATTATATTGTGGATGAGTATCAAACGAAGTAAGGATTTTACAAAACTGATTTATGAGTGGAAAGTATAATCAATTGTGTACCACATTAGTAATAGTTGTATCCAAGGTATGTTTTAGATCAAGATAATTTTATAAATTCTACAAAACTTGTGTATAAATTTATATACATATATGTATTGTATACTCTTTTAATATTTTAGTTGGCTTGAAATGTTAAGAATAAGCTGATGTCACTTTAATTTATAAAACTTGTATGCACAGGTATGCTTTATATCACGATAATTTTATAAAATCTACAAAACTTATAAATTTTATCTATATATGTATTGTATACCTTTTTAATATTTTAGTTGGCTGGAAATGTTAAGAATAAGCTGATGTTACTTTAATTTATAAAACTTGTATGTGCAGGTATGCTTTAGATCATGATAATTTTACAAATTCTACAAAACTTGTGTATTTTTTCTATAAATTTGTTGTATATCTTTTTAAATGTTTTAGTTGGCTGAGGAGGGCTTATGAGCTCGAAACGTGTAATTTTTTCACTCATCTCAACTAAATAAAGATGAGAAAAACCGCCAAGTATCTTAATTTATAGCACTTTATTGTGTTAGAAGCAGAAAATATGTTCCTGTTTTTATTATTTAATAGTTAAATTCTTGTAAAGTATAACATGAAACATTTAATACCGTATTTCCATAATACTAAGATGTATTTTTAAATCCACTTTTACTTGTTCGAAATCTTACAATCAGTTACGACGATGTGGCTACTAAACTCACCCAATGTAATTGAGTGAGTTTAGTAGCCACGATGTTCTAAACTCACCCGATGCCACGGTGTGTTTAGTAGCACGATGTTCTAAACTCACCCGATGTAATTGAGCCTTTTGAGGCTCAATTACATCGGGTGAGTTTAGAAGCCACCCGCTGACGAATTTACTCGCTAAATTCGCTCAATGTAATTAGTTCGGCTAGTAAATTCGTTTGAGGATTTATACGATGGAGTAAAGTTGAAATGAGATTTACTTTTGTCGCTACTCTCTCGCGAATTTAGTGTCTGACTAGTAAACTAGCTCTGTATAATCATGCGCATCGATTAATGTGCATCATGTATCAATGAAAGATATATTAATAAATCGCATACTAGCTAAAGTAATTCGTGCGGGAAAATTAGCTGTTGCTTGTATGTTGAGAAACGACTTCTAGAAGTGATGGAATAAAAAGTATTACAATCTAATTGTCATTTTTTATACAAAAATTTCTCTCTTTAGATTCTAAAGTTAGAATTACTTGACAAAATTTCATATTATATAGTTTTAAAAATATTATATTTTATTACTTTTTAGTAAAACATTGAAAGCGAATTTACTAAACCAGTGTAATTGGCACTCGCTGTCTCGTTCGGGAGTTTTTACTATGGCGAGTAGCTAATAATTGCGCCATTACATTTGCAGTAGAAAACAACAACAATCAGCAGTCATCGCGAATAAATCACATCAATGCATCAGTAATAGTTTTGCCAGTATTATTGATGCATAACATACATGCGGCTTACTGACGATTACTGCTGATTATTGTTTTCTACTGCAAATATAATGGCTCAATTACAGTGGGCGTGTTTACTCGCCAGCATGCAAACTCTCTAGTTGTGCCACTGACTCATTTGAAACTTCAAATAAAAAAATAAACCTAGCAAAAATTTTCCCAGCTATAAAATTATATTTAAAATATTTTTATTAAGCATTATAAACAAGTAAATAAGCATGTGCTACTTTTTTTTAAATTTTCTTTAGAGGGTACGTGCCTCTTTGCCCCTCCCTGATTGCACCACTGATTTGACTACATTTTATACGACAATACCAACTATGCCAAATAACACGTTTATTTTTTAATAAAATTAATCTCAAGTCTTTTCGTTACCATTATCGAATCTACCATTATCCAAATTTGTACAATTTACAAATTTGAATAATGGTAGATTAGATTCATGTTTAAATTCAATGTTACTACATTGTTAATTACAATTGTTTTCAGATAACAGCTACGTCTTATTGGTGGGAAGCCACGATGAATCTTGGGATTCCGAGAGTGAGAAACATCATATCAAACTGAATGAAAACATTTTGGTAGTAAAAGTTCCAGAGAAAATTGTTCAGCCACAGGTCATTAAAGACGCTCGAGAGAAATGTCAATTAACAAAAGGATAAAATTGTACAAATTTAAAAGAACAAGATCGAGCGAAGACGACATTTACCATCATTCGTCTTCACAAGAAAAAAATTTTTTATATAAAATTGTTGTACATTGTTCTTACCGAAACAGAATTAAATAGCGATGACCATTTATGTAAAGTGCTTTCTTAGAAAAATAAAACCATTACGTTTTTTCTTAAATTTTTGTTATTCTAATGTAGAATGTAACTGGAATTTCATCCTCGAATTTATGTTAATATTTTTACTTTCCTGGCCGTATTACATATAACAAATGAAAAGTATGGCAACTGGTCAAAAAATGATTCCAAGATTTTTACATTTTAAACCCAGGGGACCGTGAAATGTCGAGAAATGAAAAAAATGGGGGGGGGGTGTTTGTGTGGGTGTGACACGATTTTTGTTCACCCACTTTGAAGATTACTAATTCCTATACTTTTGTTGAAATTTTGCAGGGAGATTTGTGTATTAGGGAGATTGATTCTATTAAATTTTGGTGATTAAAGGTCGCGGGTTGGTGGTAAAGGCATTTTAGTTTCTTCTGTGTATTTTATTATATAAATAACATTTTCATTTCTGGAATAAAAAACTTAACATAGGAATATTATGAAATATACTTTGAAATGTTTAGCTGGTTGTTATCTTATTATTGTGAGATCCGGGGGTTAATTAAAACGTAAAATTAAGAAAGTGGAAAAACCCTAGTTTTTGTAACACTGGCATTTCCGTTGCCCTCTGATCGGATAGATAACCGACGATCAAATATCCTTACTCAAAACATCGTAAAGATTGTTGATTTTGTAAGTTTCTACGATAAATCCAAACGTATGGTTAATGGCGAAAAACGTCAAAAATCGGTTAAATATGAGGTAAGAAGAGTCACAACACCTCGTTGATGACAGCTAAGAACTTCGAATTTGTTTGCCTTTAGATAGTAAGTTAGCGATTGTATATAGCCCAGGAAATATATCTAATAGATATCGGATTGTGCCTGCATATCACTGTAATTGTAGCAGGTTATTGTATCATACGTTTTCCTTTTTGTTTATTACATTTATTGTTTAGTGAACCTGGAGTCGATTCAGATATTATACCCTTATCGACTTATCCACTGCACTCCCCACTCGACAAATAGCCCTCTTATTTAAATAGCCATCCAGTGACATAGTGAGCGGTCCTCAATGACCGACGTTCTGAGAAAGGTTAGGTCTCGCGCCTTAACCCCCCGCTTCTTACATTATACCTGTACTATTACTTTCTTGGCTGTTATGTATAAACAACAGGAAATTAATAGAATCGTGTCAAATTTGATCACCCGAGTTTTTTGCGAATCTCCGCGTTTTGAAACCTCCTGAACCCAAAAAGTAAAAAAAAGGCAAAAAAATTCCGTGGGTGTTTGTATGTTGGCGTCTATTTCGCTTAATATCTCAGGATGGGGGTGAAAATAATGAAGCGAAATTTGGCACGATAGCTTATATATAAGGATCATTGATGCCATTGGCTGTGGAAGGTCAAGGGGATGGAGAGATAAAGGGCGGTCACGTGATATGTCGTGAGGGGGTCAGACTTAATGACGATTTTACTTGTTGTTAGCATTTATAAAGTCTTATAAAACTCATCACTACCCTCAAAATTAAGTCTGCTATTTTATAATAATTAAAAAATGTATAAAATTTTTATAACAATATGTCAACAGATGGCGCCACATACAATTTTAGTTAGTTATTTTAATTAATAGAGGAGAAGGTGGTATTATGGAACACTGCGGGTATTATGGAACCACCCCATTTCGAACTGATAATAAAGGCGAACTGTAGCGGAATGTGGCTGAACTGAACTAGGCAGACATCCATAGCAAGGGGAAAACCCGTTTTACTTCAGTTAAACGGTTGTCCGTATTTAATCAGCAAATTTGTTTTTTTCAAAATTCGCAAGTTTTGAATGCTAAGTGAATTTAATTATTTTTAAAATATAAATCGTGTAGTTGTAGGTTCACTGGTGCATGTATTCCGTTCCAGAGACTTAGGGGTACATATTAATCTGTGTGATGTTCACGTTTTTTAAATTTTGGTCTTGACAGACATAAGTTAATTCGAGATGGCGATGCGTGAAATACGGACCCCATTGGTGCTTTTACAGTAATATGGAACTCAACTCCTCCGAACTTTCTATTTGCAAGCAGACATTCCTCCAGAGCAATTTGTGAAAAAGACACTAGGTAGAAAGCCAATTCTTCCTGAGAATATCGAAAAAGAGCTGCTGGAATATATATTGTTGATGGAGGTCATATTTTTCTATTATAAAAGCATTTTTGCGATAAAATACATTGGAGTAAATAATTTTGTAATTATTTAACATTTTTTGTCCTTTCCTATTTGTTTTTGGCTACATTAAAGCATTTTTTTGAAAATATACAGTAAGGTTCCATATTACCACCCGATTTTCTCTAAGCCTACTTTCGGACTTTTTGTACAAAAGCCTTCAAAAACCATACTTATAATTACACTAGCGAAAAATCCAATTAGGAACATTTAGTTTACTAGTTACCGGTACTTTTCGCACAAAAAATGTGGGTGTAGTTATGATACCTTGTTTACAATTCACTAAAATGTAATTGGGGTTCCATAATACCACCTTCTCCTCTACAAATGTTATTTTAAAAATAAAAGCCTAGAAAGTTACACAACTCGTTGCTAGATTTATTTGATTAATTTTAATGCCTATTTTTTAAAAGTTTTATTTCCCATAAACAGTCAGAAAAAATATTTGTATTTTTAACAGTTAATTATTGTGAGATTTTGAAGACCCCCTTGTTTATGTAAATTAATTTCATAATATTTTGTAAATTTTGATGGAAAAGGTTTATTTTCACAAAAGAAGGAAACCGTTAAAACACACTTCCTCTCCAACGGAAGTTGAACATCCTTTTTCTTTTACCATTATCTGTAAAAAATTAGTCACTCAACTGACAGTCAACCCCTCTGTAGTTCCCCACTCATCCTGTTTACGTGGGAAAATACTATATTCTCTTTGGAAGAAATCCACGAAAAAGGGGATTCTTTCTTATTGTTCGGGGAGTGCGCCAAAACTTCTCAATGTAGAAGGACGTATTTCCGTCGAGTCTCCAAAGACCGCTCCCATAGTCGGAGTGTGCCCGACCTCGAAAAAGAAGAAGGACGAATTCCATTTGGTCTCCAAAAAGGCTAGAGCCTATAATCAAATGCGCCAAATAACTCCCACCAGAAGAAGCCGTTTTAACAAGTGCCGTCCGAAATACCCAAGATGAAGAAGTAAAGAACCAGATGATAAAGTACCTGAACTTAAACGAACCTTTCTCTCGACACTCCAAAAGGAGAAGACAATGTGAAAGACCAAGTATCAAAGATCTTGTGGAGCTAGTATAACCTACTAAAATTGTAATCTCTCTCTCGCGCGTATTAGGAAACTTAATATATCTGTAACCTCGATTTATATTTTTATTTCGTTTTATTAAATATCTTTTGTTTGTTACTTAAGAAAAGGTCTCATTAATGATTGAATTAAAGTCTCCATCCACTCCACTCTAACGAACCCTCCGAATAAAAATAATTAGAAGTAACCGCGTGATAGCCCGCGTGATTGACTATCTGGTATCGGGAGCCTGACGTAAGGAGACAAGATCTTACAATCGTACGTCTCCGGATTCCTTCCCCACTCAAATCTTAAGTCCCTCCAACACTCAGAGTTTAGCCATTCTTTTTGACAACCAGAAGATTAGTTTAACAACTAGATGCCGATTAAGCGGTACACCAGTCTTACGAACTCCGTATCCCCGGCTAACCCCTCACATTATCATATCAAATATACAATAACCGACTGACTTTTAAAAGATTTTTAAGTGTAACCTTATTATACTTTTAGTGTTTTAAAATTAAGGAAAACCTAAATCTTATTTTTTAAATTTTTTTCTCTCTAGAATATAATTGGCAAAATTGGCTTATATAATTTTACTAATATTCCGCTGTCATTATCTATTATTAAATATTTATATCGCCGTTTAATTCATAAAGTAGTGCAAAATATTCACAGAATATCACAGAATTAGCAGATGAGCCCTGTGTTACTCGGGCAAAACGTAACGATAGCAAAGATTAAGATTATTAGATTATAGCCGATCTTACCCGTTTTCACCGGGTGCAAGAATTAGGTTCCTCCCTCTTCCGAGGCTAATTAGAGAATTTTTAGATGGGTCTAAAAACATGTTCGATTTCCTGTAAAAACGCAAAAAACCGCATCTAAAAATAGTATGTGAGATTCTGGGGGCCATTTGCAAGTAATTAATTAGATTAATTATAATGTGGAAAATCCCATTTTTTCTCCACCTGGTATTTCCATCTCCCCCCAGTCAGATAAAGTAGAGACGATCGAATATCCTGGCAAGATAAACAATTACTTCCTTTGTTTTGAGGAAGTTCTAAGATAAATCCCAACACTTAATTGTTGATGAGTGGGAACGTCGACTTTGTTTAAATTATATGGTAAGAAGAGTCACCTAACCTTGCGGAGAGTATACACAATCCGCTCGAGTCGTCATGTTCTTACGGCCGAGCCGATGACACATCTTGAAGGTATTACGACAACAACATAAGTCACCTAGAACCGAAGCACATCCGTCAACCCATCGTTTCCCAGCTCTCGTCGCCCGTCACTCATCGGAGAATAGCCTCCCAAGAAGTCTCCCTAACCTACGTCGATGCTACCAGATCCAAAGATATCGGTCTATTTCCAATAGAGGTATTTTATTCAGGTAGATTTATGTAAACTCTCTCTAGGTCAACTTAGACATATTAGGCCTAGTAGATATATTATACTCCTGTAGATATATTATCGAACTCTAGTGTTAATTGTGCCTGTCTATAGAAGTAGTGCTATAACTCTAGTGTAATCATTTCATTTAGCTTATTAAACTTTTTATTTGTTAAACTAGTAACCTGTCTTTACTCGGAGAACGGACGCCTGTCGATTTACCTGAAACTCTGCCGCTCGATCCAGTCCTTTACTCGATTTTCCTACCTCCGACCGTAAACAGAGGAAACAAACCATCCAATGATCATTGAGCTAGCCTAACCGGTCTGACTCCGCCCTTTTGGTGATAAGAGACCAACCCTCTGCAAGGCGGCTTCTCACATAGTACAGTACAAGCCGAGTTCTTCAGGGTGAGCATTAATTTTCATTAGAGATTTTTTACCACAGGAGGAATCATTTTGGCGCGATCGCGTTACAACGTAAGAATTTTCTGACAAACCTTCATAGATAAATAACGTCGACTTTAATATAATTCAAAATGCCAAAAAATCATAGGAATGGATTTTACTACTTCATGAAGGAATTACAGGAAGATTACAGACTAGAGGGTAGGACTATTGCATTGCGTGGTATGGTTTCAATTGCTCGTCCTTTGTGGAAAGACTTGTCTGATAGTGAAAAAGCAAAATACAAAACTATGGCACGAGAATATAAGAGAAAGTCAAAAGAAAACATAACTGGAAAAATGTGTTTAGATGATGCGTCTCTTTCCAACAGTTTACGTACTGTACGAGAAGAACAAGAAAAAACAGAGGAAGCAGTGAAATATGTCGAAAGATTCATATCCCAAATGAATTCTGTAGATGAAGTTAAAGAGACATCTTTCTTCATTATGGTTTTTAATGTTTTATGCTGCACTGACGACGGTGAATATATACCATTAGAAGTTGGAATTACAAAATATTCGATTAAAGAAGGAATCGAAGATTATTTTCATACATTTATTGATGCTGGACGCATACCTCTTGGATACGGTCTAACTGCAATGCAGCATAGTTATCAAACTCATAAAATTCCCACATCAAAGTTTGAATTGTCAGAGAGTAACTATTTAAAAATTTGTAAAAGTATTGAAAAACTTGTCAATTCAGGAATAAAAGAAATTGCACCAGTATTTTGTTTGGAAGAAAGTATAAAACAGAATGAAGGTTGTCTTGATTGGCTTTGTAAGAAAGCAACTTATTACAATATACAAAACATAAAATATTATAATTTGGTTCATCTTTTAATGGAACTTAGGGCTTATGTGTATCATGCATTTCCAAGTAAAATTGCTGCAGCTGATGTGTTTACTTCTATTGCTTATAATTACGCAACTAATTCACGTTGTGATTTTCATGAAGATATTGATAATCCATATTGTGCACTTGGGTGTGCCAAACGTTTGTGCTTTTTGCTTTCTGATGCTATTTGTCAATTTTATGATTGCACTTCAAACCCCAAGCTTCCACCACCATTACAAATTAAAAATATTATTGATGTTCCAGTGAAATCATCCAAACATCATGTTATCACTACAGTTATAAAAAAAGACACAGCCAGCAATAATTTATCTTGTGACTTCCAAGCAATTTCAAATACATCTGGTTATGATGCTAATAACCCTGATAAAGTATTTTCAAATAATGACTCTCCATCTTTAAGTGAATTAAAACCTATAAGTGACAACTCTGAAATGACACAGGCAAATATTCTGCCTTTTGTTTCATTGAAAAGACTTAGCCTGACCCAAGACAAGAGATTTGCAGCCTCAAGTTTAGGACGTGGTATTGGGCGTGGAAAACAAATCCCATAAAATTAATTTTAATTTAATATATTATTACATTTTTGAGTTTTAGTAATAAGAAAATATATATAATCTTTCTTACATATAAATTTATAACTGAATTTATTGTTTAAAAGTAGTTATATATTTTAAAATTATTTGTAACTATAAATTTCAATTAAATAAGTTTTTTTCTGTTTATTATAAATAAGGAATATTAGAATTTAATATGACAATATGGTCTACTAGTTGTTACCCGCGGCATTGCCCGCGAGGATTTTGCAAGCAAACTCTATTTATATTCAGTATTTCCATACAACCATAGTAATTGTTATATAACACCTACCGATGAGAATTGCCGAGAATCAAACGAACTATTTTCAATTTGATCAATTTTCTGAAACGTTTACAATCGTTCTATAATCGAACCAATATGCAATAACAAATTCGAATTTAAAACGGTTCGAACATTTTTAAAATCGAAATAGATAAAAAATATTTATAACAATGTCTGAAATGTTATCAATTTAATACCACTAACTTGTAAGTACTCAATAAAGACTAAACGTAGCACAGTGGGGCCAAATTCCAAAAAGCTGGCCAAAAGTCAAAAGCGTTATCAATTTGGCTGAAAGTCAGTATTCGAGGGTTTTCGGGATCTCTGATTACGAATCCGAAGTCAAAATTTGAAATAAAAACAAAATGACGGATTTAACACGAACCACTTTTATAGAAAAAGTACAAAATAAATCCATATATTGTTTAATACGATAAAACATACAATCGGTTGATTAAAAGTTCATGCCTCGTCATCCAAAGAATAATTTGATTCACAATCAGATGATTCAACTTTGAAATCGCTGGAGCTTCCCGTACTTGCTGGTATACGTGGCGCAACTAACAATAAAACTGCTTCTGGAAGCAACGACTTTGAGTTTTTTCGAGGTAATTCGCACAAACTCGAAATAAACGGATCGGATATTAATAATAGGCGTAAAATAATGTCTTCCATTGTTTTCGCTCGGGAACTTTTCTTGCAAAATCTTCTCGAAACTTTTTAATGTATTTATTAGTAGACTCTTGAGTGTCTTCGGACATCTGCCCTATCGGCAATACCAATGAATTTATCACTTCTGCACCATGAATCAATATCTTATGTACCAAAGTTGGCATGCAGAACCACGGATATAACTGCACAAAGTAACGAGCTGTCTGTAAGGCATAATCTTGAAATTCTATGAAATCGATTTCATGGTCACACGAAATTGTCTGTAATATGACAGGGAATCAAGTCCTCGTCAACCCCTGTAATAGCAGCAGAAATGCTTGAGTTTTCTAAAAATCGTTGAGCGGTATTCCCATCATTCGAGCTACGGAAACCAGGATTTCGTTGATCGACTATTAGACCCAATTCTATACGGAAACCCTTCTATATATTCGTTTTTCAGAGTCTTATTTGTTTATTTTCTTTATCACTATGCGGTTGCCACAGTTTGATTTCAAGCTTATATGCTACATGCAAACAACATTCAAAACACACAGACAAATTCAAGAAAAAGAGCAAAACATTCCGCGTCGTTAATGTACAAAATTCAGAAAACTATGTTTTACATTGCAAGAACTCGCAACAATGACACAATTGCAGCTAGTTGCAGCTAGTTTTAATTTTTTTTCATTCAATAATACTTCCATCTACAACATGCGATCGGTCCAGTCGCAGAACTCTACAGAATTTATGAACTTTTCTTTACATGTTTAAAATTTTCTGTTGTAATCTTCCGTTCATTTTCGTACAAATCATTCGTTTACTGTCATCACATAAAATATTATTATCAATTTTGTGTTACATAATGATATTCTACTTACTTACAGCTGCAGATTCCATTTTTTAAATTTAAATTCGATTGATTTTTAGAGATTTGGCACCCTGTTGAATATAGCGTAGAAATCTTTGCTTACTGCATGACACCTCTAGTTCGATTGAGGGTCCCCTTTCAACTGAACTACAATAGCAGGTATAAAGGATAGGGGGCGCTAAAGTCTAGAATTCGACCTTCGGACTCTTATCCAACCTAACCCACGACTAGAAATTACCGGTACTTAAACTCTATTTTTCGACTTTTGGCCAGCTTTTTAGGATTTGGTCCCACTGTACGTAGTTGAAAACAAAAAATCGCATCTAAAATAGTACAGTAGAAGCCGTTTTTCCGGTTAAGCCTTAATCGTCTCTCTCTCCCCCCGCGGGGGAATTTCGAAAAATCCCTTCTTAGTGTGCATTTCCATGGCGTACCCTACTAATACGCAGTTAAAAACAAAAAATTGCATCTAAAATAGAGTAGAAGCCGTTCTTCCAGTTAAGCCTTAATCCTCTCCCTCTCCCCCCGCGGGGGAATTTCGAAAAATCCCTTCTTAGTGTGCGTTTTCATGACGTACCCTAACTGTGTACCAAATTTCATCTCTTTAGGTTCAGTGGTTTGCTCTGGGCGATGATGAATCAGTCAGTCAGGACACGTAATTTTATATATTTAGATAACAATATCTATTTAGTACTGATTTGTTATGTACATTTTAAAGTACAGAAAAATAAAAACAAGTAGACTACTTATTTTCCATTATATTTAGTTTTGTTTGTTTGTTAATTAAAGCACTTGCATTGAATTTTCTCAGAACAAAATACAATTCATCACATTATTGGAATAGTTTCAAATTTGATCCTCCGAATTTTTTGCAAATCTCCACGTTTTGAGAACCTCCTGAATCCAAAAAGTCAAAAAAAAAAAAAATTGTGTGGGTGTTTGTGTATGTGTGTTGTCGTCTATTTCGCTTAATACCTCAGGATGGAGTAAAGATTGAGAAACGAAATTTTGCATGGCGACTTGTATATGAGGAGCATTGATTCTAATAATTTTTGGTGGCTAAGGTCTGGGTTATAAACTCCGTACCGTAACTGTATCCGTAATTGCTTGCAACGCTGGTACTTATGGATATTTTATAAAACTTAAAGAAAACAAATAAAAAAATAATTGAATAAATAATTATAGTGTAGATCTGGAAACACAAACGATGATATTTTCTCCGATTTATGGGTAAGACTGAATGTGAGACTCAGCCTTGTTTACTTAACTACAGCCAGACCTAAATCGTTAACGATATTATCGTTTAAATATCAAATTTCACACCTGGGAGTTAATCTTTCAACACGTTCTCAGAGGTTAAAAAGACGCTTTCACATAACCTTCCGACCTATTGTTGCAAGTTTGTCAAATGAATATAGCAACAGACCGATTTTCAAAGCAGTCGCCGCCGTTCCTCCGATGTATTAGCGTCTTCACCTGACCCTCAGAAGTGATTTTTCGTTCCAACTCATCACGTATGCGCAGCGCCAATTCTTGGATTTATTTCATCGGTCTACAAACGTATTAAGTGCCTAACCTTTGGATTACTTCATCAGGAACCTGACGTACTAAGTGCCTCCTATTGGGATTATCGACATCGCCGACTCAGAACATTTGAACCAAGACCTCGTAACGACTTAACCGACCTCAAGGTAATTATCGCCACGCGAAAATTGTAAACTCTCTCTCGTTCTCTTATTACACTCCTTCTATCGAAATTAGCAACTTAGTGTAAAAGATGTTTAAACGAGAATAACGTCATCGTTATTCTTATTTCGTTAGACTTTTCGAACGATTCGTTTATAACTAAATGGCTGCTTCTAAAATCAAAGATACGAATGTTACTAGTGCAGCCTTATCCGAAATATTTTTCTTATATTGCTTCGGGTGGACAGTTATTTCTATCATTTCACCTTTTAATTCACAGTTTAACATTCTTACGATAAATTGAATAAATCCCTTAAACCTAATGATTCCTTAAACTTTTGTCCGCCACTTTTGAATTATCCCGTATATGGTTAAAGTGTAGCTATAGGCCTATATGATATTAATTTTTAAAAATAATTATAAATTTAAATAAAGACAACTTTCTTTAAAAGAGTTTAACTCGAATGTAGTTTATTTTTGAACGCTTTTTTGTATTTACAACTAAGAAAAAGACGAATTGACCTACACTCTACGTAAGTTCTTAATTGAAAAAAAGATGTTTAGAAAAGTACTAGTAGTGTTTTTAACTTATTGTCGGGCTTAATTTTTATGTAACAACTTTCTAGGAATCATTTTGACTGTTTGACTGGTTTAATTGATATTTGATAGGTTAAATAAAGTCTATTTTTAAAATAAAAAAATAATAATAAAATTGAAAAATTTCGAATGTCAGAATCATTTGTTGTGAATTTTACAAGTATGTTTTATAGAGATTCAATATACAAGTTAAAAGCTTTAATTTTTTAAAATTTTTTAATAGAAATCATACAGGATTTCGTAACAAGGGCAAACAGTTGGATTGCTTTTTCTGAAGCTTTCATTTTCAACTTTTCCTCTTCATTATTCTTTTTTCCATTATTCCTAAATAATCATTCAAACATTTTGTCCTCGAATTTGTTTTCTTCTTTTTCCTCGTCCAAGTTAACATTTCCATTTTCATTACTCCATTTTTCGATTATTTCAAAAGAGAAATATTATTGATCCTCATCTTTGTCATATTCTGTCAGAAATGTTCATATATTAGACGGATTTTTTTCACCTCTCGCTTGCGATTGAGTTTCCTTGAGAAAATCCTCGCTTCTGTCTGTTGTCTATTGAGTAAGCTCTATTACGATACCCTAATCTGATGATTCGCTTCCAGAAGATTGGTATGATGAATTATGTCCTTGAAGTAAAGATTTCATATCCTTTTCGTTTCGTCGTGAAGATAATTTTATCGTTTGGTCCGAGAATTTCATGTCTGTATGTTTATTTCGACTTCGTCTTCGAGGTTCTTCGCACAGATTTACAATGAGAGAAATTATGCAAATAAGAATAGCTAAGGCCCCGAACAAGACGAATGGGCATACGAAAGCCACTACGAACAGAACCATCCTGAAATAAACATCATCTTTGAGAGTTTGAAAATGTTTAAGATCTTTTGAGTTCATCCAGTTCTGTGATGGAAACGAAGGTTGTTTTGATCTGTATCTCTTCGTCTTCGAATGA